TTAATTGATCAAATGTGATATATACATACAATGGAATATTATTTGGCAATAAAATGAAATGAAGTACTGGTAAATATTAAAATGGATGAACCTTGAAAGCATTATGCAGGTGAAAGAAGCAGTCATAAAAGACCATATAGTGTATGACTCCATTTATATGAAATTTCCAGAATAGGCAAATCCATAGAGACAGAAAACAGCTTAGTAGTTGCCTAGGGCTGGAGAGGTTGGAGAAAATGGAGGGGACTGCTAAATGTGTATGGGTATTTTTGGGGGATGATGACAGTGTTCTAAAAATTGATTGTGGTGATGTTTGCACAATTCTGTGAATATACTAAAAACTATTGAATTATAACTTTAAATGAATATATGTGAATTATATCTCAGTAAAGCTGTAAAAATGTATTTTATAGCCTCTGCCAAGTCATAGAAGTTCTTCAGAGTGTCTCTTGTACCTCACACATTTGGGTAGACTCTCTACTACTTGTTTCCTACTTGGTTCAATTACAGTTCTTTAATGCATAGGTTATTGCTAATATATAATTTAGAAATAGAAAGCTTGCTTTTATCTTGTGCTTTTTTTCACCACCTCAGCCTCAGTTTCTAAGCTTGGTGTACTGCAGAAGTGAGAATAATCTTGTTCCGGCTTGCAAGTTGAGTGTTAGTAAGAACATCTCACAGTGAAACCTCACCCTCCTGAAACCTAGCCATGAACAACAGTGAGGGTGACACAAGAGATGAGCAAAGTCCAGGCACTCAAGCTCCTTCCCTTTGTTCCATGCAAAGTCGTCAGGCCCCTCTCAGCCTATTCGCTCTATTTTATGTAGCATTCTAATAATCAGGTCACTGCCTGCCCGATTTCCAAACCCAACAGATTAGGCACATCAGGTATGAATGAGTGTAAAGGGTGTGCTATAGACGGAATTGTGCCACCACCACCCTCCCCCCTTCATATGTTGAAGCCTTAACCCCCAATGTGATGATAATTGGAGATGAGGCCTTTGGGAGGTGATTAGGTTTAGATGAGGTCATGTGGGTGGGGCCCTCATGATGGGATTAGTGGCTTTGGAAGATGAGACACTAGAGAGCTTGCTCCTTCCTCCCCCATGTGCGAACACGGTGAGAACTTCCCAGAAGACAGCTCTCAGTAGAAACAGACCATGTGGCATCTTGATCTTGAACTTGTCAAGAACTGTGAGAAAATAAATTTCCCTTTAAGCCACTCAGCCTGTAGTATTTTGTTATGGCAGCCCAAGCTGACGAAGACATGGAAAAAAGAAGGTTCTTAGCCTAACAGTGAGGGAGGAGACAGAAACAATGGGGAACGGGGCACAAGCACAACCTCGGCCACTGAATTCTGTACGTGTAAAAAAAATAAGAGCATCAGCTGACCAGGCCGTATGACTTCTTAGGTCACAGCATACTATGATAAAGGTTTTCATAATAATGACTCTGATTCATTGAGAAAGGGTTGAATTGTCTTCTGTTTAAGGCAGTAAAAAGTTTTAGATCCATATTAGACAAATTTCTATCCAAAATGATTCAAATTATTCCCTGTTTGCCAAGTTGAACTGTTTTCTGCTACCCAGAATGACTCATTTCTCATAATTTCCAGATACCTTTTTGAGTTGTTACTATAGTTCTTATTTTTCAAAGCAAAGAGGATGAAGGTAAATTTCTATTTTCCTTGTCCTAAAATTATACTTGAAACAGGGTCTAAGACTGTCTTCTTTAAACCAGGAATGAGTGATTTCCAACTTTTCCAAGCGCTCTTACAGAGTTGGAGGGAGGCGTGCAAAGCTGTTCTGCTGAGGTGAAGATTACAGTGTCGAGGCCTGTCACAGATGGACCTGGGCCTTTGCACCTGCATCTTCCTAGCAGTAAAAATAGCCCACGCTAGGACTAAAAGACTTCCTTTGTGAAGTTTTGGGCCTTTGCCTATTTCGCTCAGCCTTGTAGATGAAAGGAGCACCATTTACAGTACTTAGAGCTGTTAGCTGGGTTTCTGCCCTGCTGTCCTTTAGAGATTATCATCTCTACCAGCATCCCCTTTCTTACCAAAGTTTGTAATGCCCCTTTACTATTCTGAAATGAATTTCTTAGATTATATAGCCTACCCAGTCATATAATTTTAAAAACTCTGTATTTCTGTCATGTAAGAAGAAATATAAAGATTAAGTAATTTATAAAATATGTAAGTACTCTGGCCTTGCCAAACTAGAAGACCAAAAAACAAAAACCACCTCCACCCATTTCAGTAACACTTCCTAAGGGGCAGTAACACCACCGTCCCCACCTCTTCCCCCACCACTCTTGGAAAGCCGTGCTTTAGGGCGGATGTTGGATGCTCTCTTGTATAAACTGCTTGCCATGCCATCTGCTGTTTACCCTGTTATTTATATATAAGTAGTAGTTAGTTTTCCGGTCCTTTAACTTCAGACTCTTGGGGACCACAGAGACTGTGAGCTGGAGTGAAAGGCTGGACTGAGAGTCAGGAGACCACAGTTTCGGTTCCAATTTTGCCTCTGGTTAGCTCTGTGCCCTTGATTAAGTCATTTTTCTGGGTCTCAGCGTCATTCGTCAAAGTGATCTCTATAGCCTCTTTCATCATTCTCTTACTGATACTTAGATATTTCATCTATTCTCAAATCACGGTTATGAGGATTTTGGAAGAAGGGTGAAGTTGGGCTCTTAACTTTAATGAACATAAGAATGACCTTGGGAACTTGGAAAAATATGGATTTCCATGTTCTAATCCTAAGGATTTGGATTCAGTTAGAATATTTTTTAGCAACCGTCCCAGATGATTCTGAGGCAGACATCTGCAAAAATACTGTCTTAGTAGGTTCCAAATATGGCACAGTATTTTTCTTAGTAGTTTATTTTGGAGAAGCTGAGAGCCAGATATTTTATTTTCACTTCTTATAAACTATAAATATGATTGTATGTGCAGTGTAGTTGCAACAGAACTGGACAGTAGAATGTTGATATCCTTTGGAGTTGGGTTGAAAGCCTTAAAGGTTTTCTTTTGAAATGCCTTCATGTGCTAATAGATACACCCCCTTGAGAACATTCTTCCGTTCTGAGACACTTAATCATTCTTTCCTGTGACTGATTTTGTAGTGGTATTGGGAGGAGGATATGTTTAATACTTAATTCTGATTTTTAAAGCAAGGATTGTGGGAGTGGAGAGTAGTCTCTACTGGCCATTTTCTTACCTAGAAAGTTGCTAGTTTGGCTCTATTTTCCATCTAGTTGAAAGGAAATTATTTACTAGCATTTGCATAAAATTGTCATGGTACCACTGCAGATATTAATCCCAGGAAAATCACTGAGTTTGTAACTCATTTCCCAACTATTTAGGTTAATGTTGGTATTATTTCTTTAGATTAAATGTTCTTTCCTTCCTTCTTTGGGAAGACTCCAGAGTTTCCATTCCTCTTGCAGTATATGCCTGGCTTTTTTGTTCGTGCTTGCTCACATTTCAGATAGATTTGTTAGCTGTTCTATTTGTTCTTCTGCTTCCCGGTGTATAGCTCTCATGTGTTGTTTGAAGAAATCTGCCTGAACCAAACTCTCCTTATTATAATATGATGGGTGTATTCTTTTTTTGTGTCTGTGTGAGGAAGATCGGCCCTGCGCTAACATCTGCCAATCCTCTTCTTTTTGCTGAGGAAGACTGGCCCTGGGCTAACATCCATGCCCATCTTCCTCCACTTTATGTGGGACGCCGCCACAGCATGGCTTGACAAGCGGTGCGTCGGTGTGCGCCCGGGATCCGAACCCCGCCCCCGCCGCCGCAGCGGAGCACGCGCACTTAACCGCTTGCGCCAGCTGGCCGGCCCCGACGGGTGTATTCTTTTCACTTGAGAATTGAAAAGCATTGACCTGCAGGTAGTATTTAGGTTCTACCTCTTTAAACCGAGTAACTTTGCACAAAATTTATTTTATTTTCATATAATATTGTCTTTAACTTGGATGCCTGAACCCTTAAAGCAGGTTTTTCTTCTCTGGATTTAAGTCTAATGTGAGCAAGATACCTCCACATGACTACTTCCCTTTTACAAAGGCAGGGACGCAAGTATGCCGGGCAGCCACTCCCCTCTCCGCCTCACCCCCTTCTGCAGACATCACTAAATGGCCACCGCATTCTTTCTTAGTGAGCTAGCCGTAGTCTTAGAATTGGCAGCAGAGCTCCAGCCATCCACTACGTTAGGCCAACACCAGGCGTCTCTAAATTGTCACTTAGTTTTATGTCTTATTTATAGCCATTAGTACCTTGGGAAGACAGTGACAGAAGAACTAGACAGCAGCAGGTTTTCTTAACTGTTTATCAAGTAAAGTGCATTCTTCAGAACTGTCGTAAAACACTCGGTAGCACTTACTGGTAAGCAGATTGTTTTGTAAAATAGAGGAGGGCTGCCATTTCCAGCTTCTGCCACAGCTCTGTCTGGAAAAAAATGTTGGTTTCAGTGCCTCTTTGGAAAACCTTTAACCTAAAGGTGGCTATCTGTCTATTGGCTATTTTTTTCACATACTTGTTTATTACTTCATTTAAACCTTTTTTGAAGATGTAGTTAAAGTTAGGACCCAGGTCAGATATATGTTAAGACGTAGCTCTGGCGGAAGAAACTCAGTCTTTAGAGAGAGGCAAAGAGATAAACAGGAGTCCTGTAATAGATAATGTGTACTGAGTAAGGTGGGGGAAGGAATTTTTTTTTTTTTTTTTTTTTAAAGGCTTTGTAAAGGAAGTGATGTTGGAGCTGAGGCTTGAAGGATGAGCAGGAGTTTCCGTAGCAAAAGGGGAGGAAAACGTTCCAAATGGCAGAGGAGCCTGGTCCCAGGCAGGGAGCTGAGAGCTTCCCCTTTTTGCTTGAATTGTAAAATCCTTAAGGGTTAGGATTAGATGGGATTTAAACTAAATTCCTGGGTAGTATTATATGTTGATAGTATTATATGTTGATAGTTTGTTTCAAACTCTTTTCAACCCTGTTTTCCAGGAACCCGAATCATTTATGATCGAAAATTTCTGTTGGATCGTCGCAATTCTCCCATGGCTCAGACCCCACCCTGCCATCTGCCCAATATCCCAGGAGTCACCAGCCCTGGCACCTTAATCGAAGACTCCAAAGTAGAAGTAAACAATTTGAACAACTTGAACAATCATGACAGGAAGCATGCAATTGGTAAGAGAATGCTGGTATTGGGGACCAAGACGGTGGCCCTGGGAGTTTGAATGTCATCTGCTGTAGGTTGCAAAATGTTGATGCTTCAGTTATAAGTGATGTTCAGTTATATGTCTCTAAGATTCCCAACTCCCCCCACTCCCCTCACCAAAGTTTATTGAAATATTCTGGACGCCCTCAGTTCTAAATCATAATCAAGTCTAATCTAGTGGATTGGGGGAAAGAATCCAAAATCAGGGAATGGTAAATCCCAAAGATGACTCCTTGAACCTGGGCTTTGTTGGACTAGGGATAACACACAGAAAACAGAATTTAATAGTCCCCATTTCCATCTCCCTCAGGAAAAAGACCTTATTTCTTACAGGAAGAATGTCCTTTTTATGGTGTGGGGAAAAGCAATATGTTTTTTTCCCCCATTTTCCAGGACTGCCTATAATGTTTCAATAAACGCCCCCTACACACACACACACACTTTCAGTAATGAGTCCTCTCTCTCTCTGGAAGCAGAAGAGGGAGGTAGAAACGGCCAGCTCCTGAAGTACACCTCGGGCTGCACACCATGACCCTGTACATGAGCCAGCCTTCTGCCTCCTCAAATTCCAAATGAATTCTTAGACAAAGTGTCGATTCAGAGCAGGGCCAAAGTTCAAAGCCTCTAGCAGAGTGTGCTGACATGAGAGATGGCAAGGAGCTCCTGGAGCTCCTGTTTGGTCAACCTGTGGATAGAGGACCCTGGGAAAGTTGTCACTTATGTCCTTTTCCCCAAATGCTCCTCCCCATGGGTCATTTGACTGTCATTCTTTTTTATCCCCCCCCAGATTAAAAAGACCAGCCAAAGCAGAGTAATTGTTAAAGCAGCAGAGAATGGGACAGTTTGAATTAGTTTCTGACTCTCGTGCAGAGGGAATGACAGTTAAAGCTGTTTTGCTTTTCCTTTTTGTGCTAATTTTTCTTCATTCTAACCAGGGGATGATGCTCAGTTTGAGATGGACATCTGACTGTCCTGTGAGGATCAGAAGAAAAGCAGCAACCCTGATACCTGTGTGTACCTGATTTGGCCATTAGGATCAACGATGAAAAGACAGAGAGGCAGTCCCAGCAGTCCCCACTGCGTCTCCACCTCCTCCTCTTCCTCCGGGTGCCAAATGATGCGAAGATGAGCTTCATTCCACCATTTCCTCTCCCTGTTTCCTGAGCCCCATCCCAGTGAGACAGATTAGATCGAAGGCCCTTGGCATATTTCTGTAGAACTAAGCAGCCCACAGAGGAAAACTGTTAAGCTCTGGCTTCCCTCCTGCCCCCACAAAATTTTTTTATCCCACTTCAAATCTCACCCTACCAACAATTGCCTGGCTGGGAAGTCTGGGGAGGTGATACAGAGGTTTGGTGGGTTCGCCATTATTCATGTTCTTACCCTCTGTCTCTCCTTCCTATCTCCTGGCCACGTTTCAGTGCTGCAAGAGTCTGGGTTTGGGGTTGTCAGAACCATCAGGGAAATGATAAACAAGAAGAGAGCTGCTTTCCCTTTTACCTTGAGGTGTTTGTCCTTGGGGACAGAGCACCGCTTGTGCAACTCTAGTAGCATTACCCTGTGGCACTGTGTTGAGGTCTGCTTCCCCTCCTTTCTCTGGGAGCAATGTCTTCTGTCTTTGGTATTATAGTTCCTCTTCCCATTCCTTTACTTAGCACATTTGTGCAAAAATCTTTACACTCTCTACATCATAGTATTCCGTGGATGATACCTAGAATGACCTTGGCAGAGCACTGAACCATTTATGAGTCCCCAGTCTCAGTAGTCACTGTTTTTCAATCCAATGAGCATTGTGATATTGTCTCTGATTGCAGTTTCTTAGTATTTTGAATTTAAAGTTGACTTTCAGAATGCTCTAGAGAAGAACTAAACTTATTTCCTTTGTGGACCTGTTTGGCTGCTGACATAGATAAGCAGGGGCTTAAAAAATGTGTTCCTCCCGATTTTCTTGCCTTTCTCATCATACCCTGAATTTCTCTTTCTTTCCCTTCCTCCCTCCTTCCCTCTTTCCCTCTCTCTCTCCTTCCTTCTTCTCTGCCAGGCCATTTTTTCAAATGTACATCAAAGGTACCTCAAGTGTTGGTATCTGATAATATCTGTCACTCCTCTTAGCTGAGGAGTGACCTTTTATTTTTAAGATGACTACAGACCTATTTTTAGATATGTTTTCAGTACAATTTTGGACAGCAACTTTTTAATTACACATCTTCCAGTGTCAGGAAGGTGAGAAATGTCCGTAGGCGAGTCTGCTGTTCCACGTCACCAACCTTCGTCTCCACAGTCCCTTACGAGCTCTTTCTTTCTCCCTCTAGTTTTGGGTGTGCATGTTTGGAGTCGTAGAAGGTGGTTTGTAAACTGGACCATTCTGCCTTGCCATGGGTTGTTCATGAAAGCCTCGTGCTTCTTCCCCACTCTTTGCTTCCTCATCCCCCCTTCTCCCCACCCCACTCTCCTGACTGTTGACTGCCACAATAATCCAGGGAGAGTGACTCCCCTCATGGAAAGACTAATGCCTCCATCCTCTCCTAGAAAGACAAGTAAAGTAGCCACTGGTGTCCTGGGAATTTCTGATTGGATTTGGTGCCCTGAACCCTCTTATCAAGAGATCAGATCCTGGGGTGAGAGTAATAGGCCAATTGGCTAAGAAAGAAAGCTGTTTATTTTTCTTTTGAACTGTGAAAAGACCTTGTTTGCAAATACATTTTAGACAGAAGAGAGGAAGGAGGTCTAAGGAACTTTGTTCTGTTTTCTGCTACAAAATGTGAATAGTTCAAAGAGTGAAACCTTTTGTGATGGTTGATGTCTCTCAGGAATAAGCTGGATCTCCAATGCTTTGGGGATGCTTTCAGTCTCAAAATTTGATGATCAGATAAGTATTTTTTGTTTGTTTGTTTAATGTATCCCTGTTCTGATTTTAATTAAACTCTAAACTTTGCTTTACATACTCTTGGAAAAACTTAAGTTGCACCATAATTTGCACGAGAAGTTTGCTGGGGACCTATTTGTCCCCTGGGAGCTTGGTTCTTTGGGAATGGAGCTTTTCATTCTTCATACCCTGGCCTTGCCTTCTGTGGAGTCTGACTCCAGCTACAGCCAGTCAGTCTGTCGGTGAGCAGAAGAGCATCCCCTTCTTGATCTTTACTGTTGCACGTGAAAACTTGGCTTCCTCACTGAACAATGGGGAGTGGATTTAAAACATGCCAGCTGGAGTAGTATCAAGGTGCCGTCTTCCCCTTGCCATCTTGGGGAATCGCTGCGTGTGGCCCCCTAATCAGAGGCCATGTTTCTAGTATTTCTTGGGAGTGTCAGCTGTGTAGCAGAGCAGCCTCCCAACCCCTCAGCCTTCTCACCAGGACCTCCTGACTGCTTGGGGCAGTTCTCTCCTGGAGGCTGCTGCTGCCAGAGATACTTTCATCGCCTGGCCTGCATTTTAAAGAATTTCACAAGGCGACAGATGAACATCCAGCAGATGACACCTTTGTGCCATGCCTCGTAGAATTGTTTTCAGGGCAGCCAGAATCCAGCAGGTGGTTTACTTCTGGATGTTTGGAAGGAAATTCACAGGTGAAGCCTAAATCAGTCATCTATCCTGGCTTTTTCTTGGGGGAGGGAACACCCTTAGGGCACCGTTTGAGTGAGATGGTTCTTAAAATCATAATGATCATTTCTGCTTTTCTTTTTTATGAGGAAACCGTGTTTCTGTACTTCTGGGGACAATCCATCTTAATGAGAAAGGACCTTCTTCCAAATTCCATCAGGAGACGTGCATTGTCGTGGTTCTGCCTCCTTCATAGTGTGGTTCATTGAGTTCGTCACTTCCTCAGATTCTGTTGAAATAGCTATAGCATTCTCAAGAGCACACTGTAGAGAAGCTGGCTTCTATGTATCGGGCTTCCAAGCCAAGAGTTTTGTCCTTCCACTGTATTAGTTATCTATTGCCGTGTAACAAATTACCCCCAAACTTAAAATCTTAAAAGAGCAGACATTACCTGTCAGGTTCTGTGGGTTAGGAGTTGGGAAGCAGCTTAGCATGATGGTTCTGGCCCAGGGTCTGAGGCAGTTGCAGTCAGGATGTCAGCAGGTCTACAGTCATCTGGAGCTGGAGAATCCACTTCTGAGCCCTCTTTGTGTCTGTTGGCCTCCAAGTTCCTTCCCCTGAGTCTCTCTGTAGAGCAGCATGAGCGTCCTCACACCAGGGCAGCTGGCTTCCCGGAGTGGGTGATCTCGGAGACAGAGGGCAAGGAGGAATCTGCAGTGCCTTTTATGACAGTCTGCGAAAGCACACACCGTCACTTCTTCCTTGTTCTGTTTCTTAGAAGCAACACTCGAGGGGAGGGGAATTAGATCTCTCCTACTGAATGGAGCAGTATCAAAGAATTTGTGGATATGTCTTAAAACCATCTCAACCCAAAAGGGGATGAAACCAGGTCAACGGTGGGGGAAGGTTTAAACTAGATGATAGGCTGAGAAAGATTCTCTAAGACATGCATCTACCAACTGGGATAGAAGACAGGCTTTCTCTCTTTCCCCAAAGCCACCTGCTGGTGTTGAGAGGGGTGATGAGAAATGGCAGTTCCCAGCAGAATATAGTGTCTATACATTTGCCTGACTACCAGCAGCCCAAGGATGCTTCTTTGCAAGTCCTAGGCATGGTGCTTAAGACGCAATACCACTTACTTGTTATCTCCCTTAGCCAGGAATTGGCGAAGGGAATTGGATCCTTCTAGCTGAGCCACTAAAGCTGACTTAATTGGAGACAGGGTCGTCAAGCAGAGGGAGCAAATGTGAATTAGATGTTTGGTTACTGGGCTGAAGAAAAGCTAATAGTTCATTTGGGGTGAAATAGCATCCAGAAGCTAGGTCACCACCAGAGTTGATGCTTGGCACCTGGTCTCTCCAACCACACCAGCTGAAACAGACTTGGGTTGGGTCTCTCACCCAAGAAGCCACTTCTCAGTCAAGTAGGGAACATCTGGGGATTAGAAATGTCTATCGGTGCTTGATTGTTCCTTTAAGTCCAGCGTGCAGGTTAACTGCATGCCCACCTCGTCCTTGTCCTCGGTTTCCTGATGGAAATGGGTTAAGAGAACCAGTCCCGTTTCACCCTCGAGAGAAACTTAGATGAGGCTTGTCAGTTCAACACATTCTTAGTGAATGTCTGCTGTGTGTTTCTGGCACCTGTGTCCAACCAAGTTTTTAGAGATTTCAGACATCTTAAAGATGCAAATTCTTGTTTGCGTCTACACTCTGCCTCTTCCCAGCGTTTTCTTATCTGTAGCTCTGCTTGCTTTAGAGTATACTTGAATAAAAAGCATTGCTGCTGAGGCAGCTATAAGAAAAGGTACTTCTTCCGGAAGTAAGGAACTTGTCTTTAAAGCACCTTCAAAGGAATTTTGTTTTTCCTTGTGATTTTGGGGTGGAGTCAAAACAGATGGTCTTTTATTTTTTGCTGTTTGGGTTACCAGCCTTTGGACTCACAGACCTTACCTTCCCAGTTCAAACATTACCATTAGCATGCAGCCTGCTGGACGTGTGGGTTTCACCCCCAGGGGCCCTCGTTCAGCCAGTACATGTTGAGTGCCTGCTTTGAATCAAGGCAGCTGGTGTAAGGGGCTCATTGTGTTGGCAGCAATATCCCAGAAACAGTCTTTTTCCATTCTCCCCATCTTGGATACTCGATGAGGGATCAAAGCATCTTGGCTGCTTGAAGCCAGGGCCCTTGGCCCTTTGCATTCCCCTTTAGAGAGGAGGCCCACTGCCTTTCTCTGTCTGGGTCAGAACTTTTCATTCTTGGAATGTTTCTGGACTACATGTATATGGGCAGCTATTTATTAATCTGCGGAACCCAATCACTTACCCACCCATGATGTCTGGGAGGGTGGTAGTATTTGTTTTAAAGAACCATTATTTCTTTAGGGGGGCAATTTCTGTCTAGACTTTGAAGGGGGCATAGTTACCACACATATCCCCTGCCCCCAGGTTCTTTACCTCTCAGCTTTTAATAAAAGATGAAATCAGATCTTGAGGCAATTGGGTCACAATTTAGAATGCGTATACCCCAGGAGCATTTCCTGTTCTAGTAACGGTTTTCCAGGTTAGTATTGGAGTTTCCTTGAGTCTAGCTCACAGAAATTTCTTACTGAGGACTCTAAGGATGATTGATACATACTTGTTTTTTTCAAACAATCATTCATGTCTTTGCCATCCTCTAGAATTGAAATTTCCTTCTCTGGGCTGGTCCTGGAAGTTGATACTTTTTGGCAAAGCTTAGATTTAGAAGTCTTTCAAGTCCCTCTCCAGATGGTCTGTGGTTACTCTTTGCTTAACCTCTGCCTGCAGCCCTGACAGACCATACTGAATGGATGCCCAATGGAAAAGATTACCAAGAAGAAACATGTTTCCTGGGGTACTTAAACTCTCACTCTGCCACCTTTCTAAGAGTGGGAGGCTGGCAGAGAGATGCTGCAATGCTTGATAATCATTTGGCCATATTGAAATTTCCAAAGGGAGCTCTTGCTGGTGCTTAAAACCAAAATTCCTGGACACTTCAAACTTAGAGAATTCCATGAATCTAGCACAGAATATCTATTCTTGCCCCAATGTACCCCCTTCTTTTCCATCTTAATATTAAAAAAAAAACCTCAAGCCCAGGCCTAGGTTAATTTTTACTTGAAACCAGGAGAGTGGGGGAGGACACGAGAGAGAAGGGTGAGCCGTCTGCCCCTGGTGTCTGTCCACATCACTGAGTACTGTGAGCCAGTGCCTTTCCTTCACCTGAACGTGGAGCCCCTCTCTTCCCACCTGGGTGAGGAGACCTCTGCTACCTAGGGGTGAACCTTAAAGAAGGTGTCTTGGAGAGCCCAGAGGACACTCATGTAATTCAGGTGTCCATTTTAAGCATCTTTAAAATATTTTATATATAAAAATAATGCCCTTCCCTGTCAGTGCCACCAGTGGTGCAGTTCCATCCGTTCGGAATGGAAAAGTGGAGCCTGCCAGTGCTTTCCTTAGTCTTCCCTTCGACTCCCTCGATGTGGTGTCCCCTCACCCTCCCGTCCATTTCACTGTCGTGGCTGGATAGCAGAGGGCACCGTGCAGTCCTGACGCAGTCCTGTGTGATTCCGTGATCGGTTTTGGGTTTTTTTTTTTTTTTTGTAACTGTCTTTCCAAACCAGCTGGCGTTTGGAAATTAGGGAAAAAAATAAATTCTCACCAATGGTTGCTGTTACAGTTAAATCAATAAAGATCTTGAGTATCAACTTGGTGTTTTATTTGATTTTTTTAAATTTCAGGTGAAATCCTGTTGATTTCACATTTTGGGATTCTTGGCTGCTGAGGGAGATGGGCAAAGGCAGTTGGCCACTTTATATGTCAGTTCTTCTCACCACTTTTGGAGCACTGACTTGGTCCATCTGGCCTGTATATGTGAGGAGGTGATGTGTCCCTTCCCTCAGGAGCTTGGAGGTGAACGTGTACATGCTGGGGCTGGAGGCGCCTAAGAAGGCGC